CTCGTAGAGTCTGGCGAGGCCAAAGTCGCCGAGGCGGCCGTTGAGCTCGCCATCAAGTAGGACGTTGCTGGCCTTGACGTCGCGGTGGAGGCCGACGCTCTCCCATTCCTCGTGGAGGTAAAGAAGCGCCGCCGCCACGCTGCGGATGACGCGGAACCGAATAGGCCACGGGAGTAGCGGCGTTGCCTCATCTCCGCTAAAGAGGTATTTGTCGAGGCTTCCGTTGGGCATATAATCGTAGACTAAAAGGAGGTCCGCGCGCCGTCGACACCATCCTTGCATCCGGACAAGATTGCGATGGCGAAGCCTGCCAATGCTAGCGATCTCCGCTACGAATTCGCGCAACCCTTGTCTGGATTCGTGGGAGACTCGCTTCACTGCGATCTCTTCTTTCGTCCCAGGGAGAACTCCTCTGTAAACCTTGCCGAACCCGCCTTGACCGAGAAGCTCTTTCTCCCTGAAACCTCTGGTGGCGTACTTGAGCTCCTTGTAGGAAAAACGATGGGGGCCGGTAACGAGCTCCCAGTCCTCAATTACATCAGCGGTTTTTATCTTGTAGAGAAGGTATCCGGCGGTGGCGAGGGCCGCGATGAGAAAAAATAGAGCGGATACAGGGGCGGCGATGAGCAAGGCGTAGTTTCTTTTCTTGGGCTTGGGAAGTGATGGAAGAGAGGAGAGATCCAACGATTTAACCACCCCGTTCATCTTAAAGTTCCAGCCAAATAAGTAATGGGAACTGGCGAGCAATCCAGTAGACGCCGAGAAACCAACATACATCTCGTTAAGAAGAATAGGTGACAAATCGACGGCGTAAGAGAGGATTGGTTTAGCTGGTTTTGCTGAGGAGCTGGCGAGCCTTACTTCGAGCACCTTGCGCGCAGAATCAAAGTCTATCCAAACTTGAATAGTTTCGCCGCTTTTGAGATTTATAGGTGCGGCGACAGATTTATTAGAGGCAAGGTTGTTCAGATCGATCCCAACGTGGTTGTCGTTGATGTCTCCAAACTCAAAGTCCTGCACGGTATCAAATTCGACGGCAAACAAGTGGTTGGAGGCGTTGCCGATGTTTTTGGCGTTGAGGAGGCCGAGGTACTGGCTGGGGAGGGCTTCAGGGAGGGAACTAGAGTTGGCGATTGTGAAGGCAAGGCCATGGCCGCCAAGCTTGGGATATTGCGGGACGATGGCGAAGGCAAAAGCGGTGGAGAAGGAGAAGACGGAAGCGTCGGTGGAGTTCTTGAAACGGATTGGTACGGGGTAGAATGAGTGGCCGATGAGTCGGAGAGTCTCGTTAGTGAGCCGGAGGATGCCGCCGTTCTGGACCTTTGCGATGCCGCCGAGGGTTACGTTGCTGTTACTGTTGCCGTTGCCGGGGTTGAATCCGGAGAATTGGAACTCGTCGTGTTGGGCTAGAGCTGAGAGGAGTGAGATGGATAATAGGAGGAGGACGGAGAATGTTATAGCCATTATTAGGCAAGAAAATGATGGAGTTCGTAAGGAAGGTTAAGGTTTTGTAGGGAGATATTTGGTGTGACGTCGTACATGAATGCAGGGCAGGAAATAGGTGTAGCCGATAGTGTGACCACTACAATTATTATGCCACATCATTGGTTAGGGCTAACTATAACGAAATTGTATCGGTCCGTCAAGATAGTGGTAGCTTCTCTTATTTTTATTTTTAGTTTTTAAGTGTGAAGAGATGACCGCAGGCTAGTTAATTATTGTATCAGAAGAACTGATTAATAATTTTTCTCGAAGGCCTAGGACAATAGACAAAAAAAAAATAAAGACAGAAATTATATAAAAAATACAGTAGACAATACTAAAAAAAAAAAGAAAAAAAAGGATGATCAACAACAACAGAATTTAATGCAATTATTGTGTGAGACAAAAAAAATATTACATAAGAACTCTGGATGCATCCTAATTGATTGGTGAAGCGCCACGTGTTAAATGAGTCTCATCATTTTTAACACTGGCCAATATCAATGTATTACGGTGAGGCCCATTTGATATGTGGCGCTCCATCATTGGAGTCCAAACGCAAATAGCATCCAGAGAGACCGTATGTAATATTTTCTCATATGAGAGACAAAAATGCCCTGATAACAGTTTTATAAATAAGAGCTAAAAATATAAGAAAATCTAGATAGACACAATAACAAATCTTCAGTGGAGGACAACTTTGAACATCGAAAACCTTCAAGAATCGATACAAAAGCTGAAATTTGTGAAGAAAGATCTTTAAACAAGACCAAATGAAATTGGTCCGAGGTATCTAGAAACATGAAAAGGCTTCAAATGAGTTGTATAATAGTGGAAGATCGAAAATCAATGTACGAGCTGAAATATGAGATAAGAAACTTCCAAACAGCAAACCCTTATACAATTGACCCAAAGAAGGTATCCAAAAACATCAACAATCTTTAAAGGGGCTGTATAACAGTGGAAGAAAATCTTTAAACAAATCTAAACTTACATAAAACAACTCCTTAGCAATATAGCAGCAAGAATGAGCTCCAACTCCCGGAGAAATGCTAGAAAATAAAAATAAAAAGTACAACCAAAGCTAAAAATAAAATTTAGATCGACTAAGAAAATAAAATCGAAGCTCACTGAAAGAAACATTGTGACAACATCCAAGCACATGAAATATATCAGGAAATCTTAATATATTCCTAGAAACAGTTGAATCACAATGTCATGTTGAATTCATCATAGCTCCAAGAGATAATGCTAGATGAAGAGTATAAAAACCTCCATTGTAAAAAGATATCGAGAGTAATATCTGAATGAAATAGTATAATATTTGAAAATAAGACGACACTAATTACCAAAAAATTATGGCTTCTAGATTGTTGAAATTCAGAATAATGCGGAATACTTCGAAATATTTTTATTGATATAAATAGGGGTATAAATAACCCTTACAAGAATCCTGTAATAGGAAAAATAATAAAAAGGAAATGATACGAAAGGAAAGATATATTACCTGATATCTCCAATAATTAATTCATATTAATTACTATGAGATAATAGGAGATAATATAAAATGGAAAACAAATAATTCCTAATATATGAAACAAAAATATCTCCTTATATTAAGAAACAAATTTATTTCTCATAACTCTTTCAGGAATAAATTATTTTCTATTATAAGTCTTAACAGGAAAGTCAATAAATCCCGAAATTTAAATTAGATATCTTAACACTCCCCATCAAATTGAACATGGTTAAAAACCATATTCAACTTAAATTTGAAAACATCCATTAGCTGACTGGACAGGTAGCATCAATTTGCCAACAAGAAACTCCAACAATCCTAAAACTGTAAGTGTCGAAGCCGATGTTCCTGAAACCGAGAATGCCGAAGCCTGAGAGAGTCGAAGCCTGAGGACGCGAAGCCTAAAAGCTCCGAAGCCGAGAATGTCAAAGCCTAAGAGTGGTCGAAGCCTGAGAGTGGCCTGGACGAGAGCTAAGCTCAATTTCGAGATATTGATGAATTTGTAAGTCACCGAGTGACTGATAATTGTATGAAAACAACAAGTAGGCTGCAATAATGCTGCAGAGAGGTTGTAGGAAGGTTGCAGAGGGCCAACAACAGTGCTCAGGAAAGTTGTAGTGCTCGGAGAAGGCTGCAATAATACTGCAGGAAAGAGTAGTGTTTTCGTTGGGAAGAGCTGGCCAAAATCCGTAGAGAAGCTAAAATCTACAGGGAAAAATTTGTTGAGGTAGATCCGACGGTGAGAAAAGCTACATGAGGGAGGTCCGACGGCGGGAAAGGCTGCAGGGGAGAGAACCGGCTACAAGAGTAATCCCGAAGGTCCAGTCGGCAGATATGTCCGTAGGAAGTTCTGGCTGCAGGAAACGCCGCAAAAGGGAATTTTATCGGCAGGAAGGACTATAGGAGGGAGTTCAAGTGGCAGGAAACCCATCAAGGGCTAGGTCCCGCTATAGGTAGGTTCTTCGATGGTCCTGAAAAAAAATCGAGAGGTCTGACGACTAAAAGATCTCACATGAAAGATCTGTGATTGAAAAAACTGCAGGAAAAACGACCATGGGAGAGCCCGCAAGGAAGCCAGCGCTCTGTGAGATTCTGCGGAGGACAAAGATTCCCACCAGAGAGGATTTCCATCAGAGAGTGAAAATTAGGATTTCCACTGGAGATTTTTCTTGATTTGCACTGGAGAGAGAAAATAAATCCCATTGGCAAACCAAAATTTCTACTAGAAAGAGAAAATAATGTCCACTGTTTGCTGAAAATGCAAGTCTGTAGTTGCCCAAATGCCTACGCAGGCAAAAGCACTGAAATCTTAATGATGTAGTGAACCAGACACCTACGCAAGAAAAAAAATTGAGGCACAGCAAAGGCTGCTGAAATTGACTCCTACGATTGGCGGCACCTACATACGGAAAAAATGAGGTGCAACATAAGCTACAGGAATTGCCGACTGTAGAGAAGAATGTAGAGAGGTCTCCTGTTCTGATGGCTGCTTGGAGAAGGTTTAGTTGAAAACTTAGCTCCTCCTGACGCTTTAGGCAGAGAAGGAAAAATACTGCAAATATAACCCAATGCAGTTGAGTAACCACATAAAAAAATTATTACTCAGATTGTCCAAATTATATCTCCTCCTTCCGTTTTTCAATTTTTAAAAAACAATTCCTCCCTGTTTTTCTTAAAAATGAGATAACGATATCTGAACCAGATTATATAGCCCAGGCCAACCAATTCTGAAACTTTTGGAAACAGAGGAAGAGTTTCAATTGCGCTGACAACAGTTGATGAAATCCACAGAGCAAGCAAAGCACCAGCTCCTTAAAAAAAGATGAAGTAAGTGTCATCTAAAGCCAACTTGGAACAATGCTTGCTAAGTAAATCTTCAGCTTCGCTTAGCTCTCCATCATTGAGAGTCTCTACAAGTGAGAAATCCTTCATTGTCGGAGCCTTCTTCAGCTCCAAAGCATCGCCAAACTTCTGCAACATGATGGTCGAGGTCTCTTCATAGGTTGTGGCTTTTGATCAATGCAAACATGCAAACCGACCAAGAGGAAGCAGGAACTGAGGATTTTGAGAGCGGAGAGATCAGCCGAGCGTTAGAAGAAGAGCAGAGGCCGAATCTATCAAGCGAGGAAGGAGGTGACGGAGGGCTTCGAGCAAGAAGCAATGAATGTCTCGGTGTGCGAGGGGTTTGGTTCATGAATGAAGGGAGATGAAAGCTTCGGTTCGTAGAGATGAATCCTATGAGTGGAGGAAGGAAAAGGGGAAGTGGGAGAGAGAGTTGGCGAGCGGGCTCAATACAGAGGGAGGTAAGCAAGCTCGATGCAGAGGGAGGCAAGCGGCATCTGATCATGAGAGAGAGGTGAGGGAAAGGCGAGGGCTTCGACTCTGAGAAAAGAGGGACAGAGTTAGTTAAGAGAATGATAGCTCGAAGAGATGGCTGCCACCGGCAAGGAAGAGGAGGTTGGATGGGTTGTCGCTTGCGGAAGGAAGGGCACCACGAGCACCATGAAGGGATGGGCAGCGATGCTTGTCAAGGGCGAGGAGCCCCATGCCTCGCTTATTGTCCAGGAGGTTCTCCACTTGTGGTCGATGAAGATAGACACAATTGAAGTGTCGTGCACAGGCTCGAAGAAGAGCCGTGATTAGACAACAAAAAGAAAGCAAAGCTACTGTAGGTATCTTGCTCCATTCTCATCCCCTGTAAGGCTACAACAAAAGATGCCCGGAAAGCTTGCAATTCTCATCCCCTGTAAAGCTACAACAAAAGATGCCCGGAAAGCTTGCATCAAAAAGAAACTTAACCACATAGCGGAGCCACTGTAATGGGAGTAGTGATGGCCAAGTGAAGCTTTTCAAGACTAACATAGAAGGAGAACACAATGATCCATCCGGAGGTTTAGAAGGCGATGAAAGGCTCACTAATTTATTGGTAAATGTAAGATCTCCACATTAGCCGACGAGAAGATGTATCTAACTCTCAAAGAGAGAAGGGTTTCTTATGTAAATATAGATTTGGAAACAATCCCCATTTCTCTCAGCAATATAAGATGGTTGATTCTCCTGGAGAGATCGCATATTTTCTAAGGATGAAGGGAGATTACTATACACCCTTCTTTTTCTTCTCTGTTTAGGTCAGGTAGGCTTATCTTGCTGAAAATGTATCACCGCGCTTAATAGAGGAGGAGCAGGTGCCAAATCATAGCTAGGGAGTGAGTGGGTGAACTGGGGATAATAAAAAAAAGGAAAAAAAAAGGAGGAAAATCGAGCCATTGAGTTTTGCTTCAGAGGGTGTCGGCACTATTTTTGTTTGATGAGTTGCCCGTTGGAAGCTGTCGGCCGTTGGAATCGAAATCTCCTTGCCTGCTTCGAAAGGACATTTAATTTAAATAGATATATAGTTTAGAAAAATATGAAATGAAATCAACCCCATATTTTTAATTGTTTAAATGAAGGAGCACTGTACCTGAAACCCTGTATCTATCCCGAAAGATAAACATAAGATTTAAGGGTGAGGCGCGATAAAAAAAAACTAAAAAATATATGACATACATTTGGTCTGCGAAACCATTTTATTTGCTGACAAGTTCCCTTATTTAATATGAAGAATTAAATAGGGTTTATATTAAGTTGGGTTCAAAAAAGCTTCCTATAAATGCAAGCCCCTATTGCTAATTACATCATAGATAACTAAAGTCATTTAAGA